GTTTGATCTTCGGCTGACCAATCAGCAGAAAGGGGCGTTTAATTCCCGCCCACATGTAGAAATCAAATATTCAAGCTGTTTATTCATTTTTCCACCCATGAACGAAAAACGAAAATTTAAGCTGAATTCTCGTTTTTCGTTTTATGGGAAAAAAAAATATATATATAATGAAAAAGGAGCCATTTTCTAATTTTTCTACTTTCAATATTAAATCAAAAAACGAATGCTCGAATGATACACGGATTGAGGGGTTACAGGTCGCCACTGAGTAACGGATTTTCTACTATACAACACCAAACGCCACTGCCAGAGAGAAATAAATGAGTAAAAATGGTTTAGGGGGGGGAAGAATCATGCTAAGTTCATGTAATGTCTAGACAATTGCTTATAGAGTACAACATACAGCGAAGGTATGAGTACAGAAAAGTAGAGAAACTAATAAAGTAACGTTACAGAAGTCGGCCTTTTCATTTCCAACGCAACAAGTTATTCTTCAGTGCGTTCGGATGGAATGAACGACCGTCATGGTCCAAATAATTGATTATTGCCATAAATAGTGCTCTGCGCATGGCCTACTGCTCACCCGCGGGACTTAGCTGGCAAAAATGCCAACAAGAGAAAGCCCATCCTCGCCCCTTTCCAGCGCCCACGCGTCGCTACCGTCTCCTGTTTCACCCAAAATGCGCAGCTTTCGAAAGCACAGCGAAACCTCTTCCCGTCTTTGTCTGATACAGCACTAACTCAAACCAACGGTTTCCATTTCTCAAGGGTACTCACCGTTTTCGGCATTTTGTCTGTGTTTTGTCTCTTCTCTCGCGGACGTGTCCCAAACTGAGCTGATACAATGAAGTCAACAGAAAGCCAAACTTTTTCCCATCGGCTGACGTCCCCGCGCAAGAGTGAGCAACCGCCACCGCCAAAGCTTCTCCTCAAATCTCTTCCAGGTCCCGAAGACAAAGATTCACTTTTCGCTGCGTCTTTGTCGCTCAGATAAGTACTGGTGGTCCTAGAGTCGCTTCCTGCTAACGGAACTGAGTTTTGAAAACCACACCCAGCCCAGCCGATGCGAGCACAGCAAAGCGCGTCTGACTAAACTCCGCCCGGTTTCTCACAGGCCCCGTTATTCGCCGCCGCTGCTGCTGCTGCTGCTGCTGCTGCTGCTTTGTGTGCCGCGGACGCCGGCGCTCCAACGCGCGCTCTGGGAACTCGAGGTGGGGGTATCCCACACAATTCCAACAGTGACGTCATTTTCCCCAGAAATTCCAAACTCGAATGGCAGAGTTTGGTACAGGAAATGCGTTTCACTTGAGGAACACAGCGAGACTTTATATGGACAAAGACTTAATCGTGCTATGCGACTTGTCTCAATGTTGACAAAATTACATTTGAAAGAAATAACTCTGAAAGAACATAGGAGAGACCCAAGACTGAAAACCCTTCCTGTACAACAAACACTCTTATATACAGCCCTATAAAATAGGCCTACTGATAAACATTGTCAGCATCTTTTAGAACATGTGATGTGTGACCCTGGACCACAAAACCAGTCATAAGGGTCCTTTTTTTTTTTTAAACCGAGATTTATACAGCATCTGAAAGCTGAATAAATAAGCTTTCCATTGATGGTTTGTTAGGATAGGACCATATTTGGCCGAGATATTTGAAAATCTGGAATTTGAGAGTGCAATAAATTCAAAATATTGAGAAAATCCCCTTTAAAGTTGTCCAAATGAAGTCCGTAGCAATGCATGTTACTAATCAAAGAATGAGTTTTGATATATTTCTGGTAGGAAATTTACAAAATATCTTCATGGAACATGATCTTTACTTAATATCCTAAAAAAAAAAAGATAATTTTGACCATACAATGTATTGTTGGCTATTGCTACAAATATACCTGTGCTACTTAAGACTGGTTTTGTGGTCCAGGGTCACATATTACTATTAGATTTGAACTTTAGAATTAGACTAGGCTAAAAATTATTATAACTATACTTTTATCATTTTCAAATTTCCTTTGATTAATAATGTTTAGACGATTAACTAGACGATTTTGTAATGTCATTTTGTTAAATAGGATCCTCTTCAAAAGCACAGTATACTGTATGTATAATGTATAGCCTAATTGCTACAAGTTAATTTTTTTCATTTTAAATATGGAAACTTGTGAATATTATCTCCTATAGATGCTCACTGGAGGATCATGCAATCTACTGGATTCTCATACAAAAATTACTGTGGTTGGTACAGTCACGGATTAATATGTAATACCATGGTACTTTGATATAATAGTACCATGATTGTACTAAATGATTGTCATATTTAAGTACCATGTGGTACCAGATCCAAATGCAGAAGCATGTTACTTTTTGGTATTGCTGAATGTTAATGGGATGTTTACTAAAGAGTTCAAATTAATCTCTTAATTTCACTGTGTGATATCAAGACGGGACGGGTTTAATGTCCCTGCTTTGACTGAAATTGACCCATCTGGAAAAATGGCTGATCGTGCTCATGAGCTTTGTACAAATACCATGCTGAATCATTTTAATTGACCGAGAGTTTGAGGAAACTACTCTTTACTGCCGTAGACTACACCTAGAACAATCATTTGAATGCAGTTAACGTTATTATTGCAAGCTGTATTTGAAGCATTCTCTTCTATTGCTGAAAGTGTACTGTAGGAACCATTGTTCATCACTTGTGCAAGGGGAGCGTTTAACCTGCCGCACCGCTGAGGACCGTGATGTGTTCGGAAATAATAGGTTGACGTGAATCGTATGGTTTGTTTTGTTGTCGAATCTGACTGCATAGACTTGTTTCCCTGCTGCGACTCCACATACAACATCGGTCGCAAGCATAAAGTCTACGATCTGAAGATGAAGAAGAAAGCGGTGGGGAAGACGCGTCACGTCGTGGCCTGGATGAACAAGGCGGAGTACGAGCATGTGCTGGAGTATCTGTTCTCCAAAGAGCCCGCGCTGCAGAAGCACGCGCTGCACAGGATCTCCGCGTGGAAGGGCAGGTGTGGTGGTCAGGGGTGGGTCTGCTGTGACAGTGATCAGGGGCCTGTACCATGATGGTAGATGGACACATTCAGAGTTACAGGATTAGTGTTGAGTTGACGAAACCAAACCACTCCAATCCGGCTTTATTGGTACCATGATGCTGATCATCAACTTTCTTTGTCAACTCAGGCTTTGATCCAGTGTTGCCAACTCATTTTCAGGGGAAGTTGCTAAAGGAAGGTTGATTTGTTGCTAAAAGTTGCTGAAAGAGGACATTGCGTGATGACGTCATTACGTAATCACGATGCAAAATTGTCAAATCTCAGCAAAAACGTATCTATTTTATATATGTTAATTTAGATGTGTTCGTAGCGATGTAAATGCATAACATAATATTAAAATATAAATAACTATTTTTAAATTCATTGAATTATCGAAAACTTGCACATTTTTGAACGCTTACAATTTTAAGTTTTTTTTTAATAACTAGTAGTAATACTACACGTTCTCAACAATTATGCTTTAAGCAGTGTATTAGTAGTTAGTTAGTATGCTACACTCTAAGAAAAGGCTGTAAAAATAGGGCACAAGCTACTGTTAATATGAAATAATCTTCCGAATTGGGTTTTTACCTGCATTTTAAATTATGCATTGTGTTTTCGGGTTACAGTGAATTATGGATAATGTCCTGGAAAATTACTAGTATCTTTTTCATTTTTCTTACATTGTACTAGCTGAACAACAATCACAGGTACAAGCTACTAACAAAGTGAATCATAAATGAACAATTATTCAATTATTATTAAATAGAATAATTGCAAATAACAGCTAACTTAATTCTCGTGATGTGTGTACTGCTAGGCATCTTTGGTTTCCTCTTTTTGTGTAATTTGGATGGAAAATGTGTGCCTTTTTATTGTGAAAAGTTGCCAAATAATTTTTTTAAATAGCTAAATTTGTTGCTAGGTGCTTTTGGAAGAAAAAGTTGCTAGGGTAGTCTAAAAAGTTGCTAAATTTAGCAACAAAATTGCTAAGTTGGCAACACTGGTACAATGATGCTGATTATCAACTTTCTTTGATCCTGAGTTTGGAGCGCATGCAGATGAGTGTGTGACATCAGTGGCCAACAGCCAATCACGATCCTTGCAGCACAGAGCAAGTCTGATTCAGTGGGATTCTTTTTTTTTTTTGCTAAATTTAGCAACAAAATTGCTAAGTTGGCAACACTGGTACCATGATGCTGATTATCAACTTTCTTTGATCCTGAGTTTGGAGCGCATGCAGATGAGTGTGTGACATCAGTGGCCAACAGCCAATCACGATCCTTGCAGCACAGAGCAAGTCTGATTCAGTGGGATTCTTTTTTTTTAAAGGTTAAGAGATCAAAGAATATGAGGAATGTAAATGCATTTACACTGAAGTACTTGTTCATGAAAGAGGACAAATAAAAGAAATGATCTTGTTCTATTAGTGCAGTCACAAGTGAAACTTGTCAAGCTATATACATAGAGATTTGTACATTTTTAAAGCGTTATCTATTGATTCTACCACTTCTGTATATTACATGTGATCTGTATATATTAATATTCATTAAAAATAAATGCGTTATAATAATTGTTAAACTAAAATTGCTTGTGTGTAATGGATTGATAGTAACATATCATATAAACAAGTCATAAAAATTGTAATTATCATTAAAGCCAGATAATTTTGTTGTATTTTTTAAGGTACTTTATAGTGACCTTTAATTTGTAGGAACAGACACTGGGGGAGTGACTTTTTTGTGTCAGACATGTCACTTTGCTCACATTTGATTGGTCCAATTTCAGTTTGAGATCTCTAACTCGGAACATAATGAGCTGTGGAGTGTAAGTTACTATGGCAATGAACGCCGCTAAAACCCAGGATTGATGCAAACTAAACTGAAACTTACCTGGCTAGCCAGCTAATCCAGCTTCATGGTACAGGCCCCTGATGTCTTATACACAGTTGTTGGAGATGTTGTGATCGCCGTTTGGTGGGTCACGTGACAACTGATGTTTCATCTCATGTATTGTTTTCTTTTCGGTCTTATACATTTTTCATTTTTTTTATTTTATTATTAAAATATGAACCCTGTTTGGAAAAACCCATGACATGTTTCACACATTTTAGGTGATCTAAATATATATTTTACCTGAAATGTGTAATGTAATAAACTATGTTACTAATTTAAACATTTTTTATCATATAACTTGGAATCGGTAAAGAACTACAATTTCCAAGTAATCTGCCCAGCACAGGAAATAAATATGCTTAAACTATTCTAGAAATAATGTCAAAATACAAGCAATTTGGAGGGTCCTAACAGTAGATTACACTGGTGCAAGGGACCCCCTCCTAAAAATGCACAGGGCAACTTATTATTTATTATTGTGTATAAAGCCTTGATATATACTTTGAGCAATTAATATTATAAATATGCATAAAGTATTACTAAGAAAAGATTTAGTTTCTAATGTTACATTAATCATTTTTCCTATCACATCCTATTAATTTATTTGAATTATTGATTGCAAATGTATTAATTTATTTTAATACATTTGTATTTAGTTTATTCAAATTATTTATTTATTTAGTTGTTTACATTTATTTATTTTTTATTCTATTTTGCACTGTTTTTCTCCAAAGTCCCTAGCTCTGTCTTGTGGCCCACTGGAGATCCTGCACCCCATTTTGAAAATGTCTGAACTAGTTTATTAGGACAGGTCTGGAACATTGTCTCTGATATGCTGTCTGTCGTCACAGGTTTGGACAAAGCACTCCAGTGGCTGTGGACAGCACAGCGGACCTGGTCCGTTGTCAGGTGCTGGACAGCACAGGTCAGCTGGAGGCCAATGATCTAGTGCTGCTGTATGGCATGGCGCTGGTTCGGTATGTTTATCATCCATCAAGTGCACTTGACCCATACAAATCAGATCGAATTTGACTTTACTGGAGTAACAAGTATGACTGTGTTTCAGGTTTGTTAATCTCATCACAGAACGGCAACAGAAAAGAGTTGCCAGACCCTTACGAAGGTTAGCTGGGAATGTAAGTCACACATCAACTCAGTTGAATGTCTTTCAGCATCTGCTATAACTGCAGTCTGACTACAGTTTGTCTCTCTGACAGATAAATATTCCAGAGTGGGTGGTAAACCTCAGGCATGATCTGACACATCGCAGACTCCCGTCACTAAAGTGGTGCAGAAAAGGTGAGAGACGGCTCTTCCCTTACAGTCACGCGTGTAAACCGACTTCTCTGTTTGCTGCTGTTGTAGTGTTTAAATCTGTGCATTGTGTCTGTGTTTGTTTGTGTTCTTCAGGTTGTGGATTTGTGCTGGACTGGTTGCATCAAGAGTACTGGTCTCGCCAGATGGGCAGTCAGCTGACAGAGGACTGGAACTCTTCATCATCAGAAGAGGAGGACGAAGAGGAGTTTGCTAAAAGACATGAGGAAGAGCTACTCCGCAGACAGAAGGAGATCGAGGCACACAGTGAGTAGCCTTTCATACATAAAACTCCCATCGGTTTGTGTCAGTAAAGGAGAGAGATGTGGCACTTCAGGGAAGGAAAATGACAGAAACTGATCAGACTTTTACATGCTGTACTTACAGCTCAGAATAAATAAATAAAAGCATGACAATTATATTACAAATATAGGATAAATTGCATAATACTAAATTCCTTTGGAGTGTATTGAGGTTATTTCATGTCACTTAAATGCAAAGCATTAGCTCTGTTCAGAATGAAAGGTGTAAAATACTTGTATTAATCAAGGACACATTAAATTCAAAAGTGACAGTAAAGGCATTTATAATGTAATAAAATATGCATATTTCAAATAAATGATGTTCTTTTGAACCTTCTATTAATCAAATAATCCTGAAAAAAAGGGGGGAAAAAATTATGGTTTCCCCCAAAAATAAATAACACCAAATCAGCATATTGGAAGGATTTCTGAAGGATCATGGGACACTGAGGACTGGAGTAATGATGCTGAAAATTCAGCCTTGCTATCACAAGATTAAATTACATTTTAAATATGTTAAAATAGAAAAGTAATTTTAAATTCTAAAAATATTTCTCTGTATTTTTGATCAAATTAATGCCATCTTGATAAGCCAAAGAGACTTCTTTCAAAAACATTAAAAAAAAATCTTACCAACCCCAAACCTTAAAACTGTAGTATCCACCTTATTTTTCAACGCAGAAGTAAGCTGTTTTCTGTGAATGTGCGAGACTTCCGGTTCTTTAGCCGCTGTAGGGAAATAGCAAGAAGAATAACAAAGCGCAGTAAACTGTAAAACTGTTAGCACTACAAACCAGTGTTCATAAATAAGATTAAAATAATGTGGACACACCAGTTTGCAATATCAAGCACTTACTGGAAAAATAAGGTGGATAGTTTTAAAATATTAACTATTACTTCTCTGTTTGTTCTCTATTTTTCAGAAAAAGTCAGAGAACTGCTCATCTCTTATGAACGAGAACAGTTTCAGGTAAGTCTGGGACCAATTTCACATTGTGTATAGTATCCCAGCTCACACCACATGGTTTGTAAGGGTGCTTGAATTCCTTGAAAATGCTCGAATTTTGATGTTGTGTTTTCAAGGTTTGAAAAGTGCTTGGATTTTGGTTAAAGTGCTTGAAAATGCATTTCCAGTGGGTTCATAATAATTCGCTTTCTTGATGAATAGTTCTTTTTTTTTTATATATATATAAAATATATAGCGTAACAACTCCGCTCGACTCACGTGTGTGGCTATAGTGTGATCTGTCAGTTTTTATTGACGTGCGTACGCTCTGATGGAGCGGAGCGGGAGATAAAAACATGCCGGGAGGTTGCCGCTTCAGTCAGTGTTGGCTTGAAAACAACAAGTATGGTTAAAATGAGAACTAAATTCTTAAATTCTTTTTTTTTTTTTTTCATGGAAGAGTCTGCGCTTTTGAGCCATATAAAAGGTAAACAAAAATGCCCCTGCTCAGTTAAACTAAATCTTTTAAGACCGTCACGATTAAAGTGAAATTTGAAAAAGAATGAAAGGTGTCTATTGCGGCATATGTTTAGATCTGCTCACAATGCATCAAAGATTTAACTTTGCGCGTTTCCCCCCCAGTGTTATAACAAATCACGAACGTGATCTGCGAAATGCTAGTTATGTTCAGTTCATGCGCTTACTGAATGCATTCTGCAGTCTCTCGAATAGTGTCATCATAAACAACAGTAGCTACAGATACGATGTAAACAAGAAATTCATTTTACGGTTTAGACAGCGAGATTCAGTGAGCTCGTGCTAGAAATCATCCGTTTCAGTGATGGGGAATGTTTGTTGCTCGTTTTCTGCATGTTTTAATCCCAAATTGAATAATCATTTTGTTTTTCATACTAAATTTTGTAATAATTTGTAAAGAATGTCATGAATATGACGTGTCGTTTCCCCCACACAAAAACGTAACCGATTTTAATCGTCATTGTCACATAAACTTGCATCAAATTTAAGGACATAAAAAGACTTGAATGCCTTAAAGGGTTAGTTCACCCTAAACTCTAGAAATCGACTTTATTCCACTACTGTGGCACTTTGGACGCGCATTCAAGACAGTACCATGACGTGAGCGTGTGGCGGCGCTGACCCAGATCCGGCGTGGTGACGTCATTACGCCGGATCTGGGTCAGCGCCGCCACACGCTCGCATCATGAACGCGTGTCCAAAGTGACGCAGTAGAGACGAAAATGTGGAATAAAGTCGTTATTTTTGGTTTCTTAGCTTCGTAACTTTACAGTTGAACCACCGATGTCACACGGACTACTTTGTCGATCATCTTGGTACTTTTCTGGACCTTGAACGTGGTAGTTACCTTGCTGTCTATGGGAGGGTCAGAGAGCCCTCATATTTCATCAAAAATATCTTAAATTGTGTTCCGAAGATGAACGAAGGTCTTACGGGTTTCGAACAACACTAGGGTGAGTAATTAATGACAGAATTTTCCTTTTTTGGGTGAACTAACCCTTTAAACGGTAGGCTACAAGAAAATACTTTTTTATAATTTCAAGAGGTCTAAAAATTGAGGACTGAAAGACAAGAATAATTATATGGCTTATTGTGACGATTAACTTCATAAGGGTATGATTTAATTGAATAAACAAACAAAACAAAAAGTCAAAACACAGCGTGGGTGTTTTGATATGAAAGTATCTCTGAAGGGAACCGCCTGCCCTCAGAAAGGTTTTGATGGCATTTTCATTTCATCTTGCCTACTTATAATGTCTGATACTGTAGTTCTGCTTTATTTACAGTCGTTACTGGGGAAACCTTTCCAAAAGTGCCACCTGCTGGCAATTTGCTGTTTTTGTTCAGAACAAATAAAAGATGCCTTCAAAAATCCAAACGATTAACAAAGCAAGGTGTGTGTTAGGGGTCGACCGATATATTGCCAAGGCCGATATATCGGCCGATATTTGGCATTTTTCAAATATCGGCATCGGCCGATAAGTTTTTCTGTTTGGCCGATGCGTTCGATGCGGGACTTTTATTTTGACGTCGCTGAGAGCGGCAGCGCCCGAGTACACAGTGCTCACATTCTCCCTCTTGTTCGCCATCGTCGTTAACAGTTCTGTTTAATACGGATAGAAGTCTGTCTAATAATCCGATAGAACTGTTAAACAAAGGAATTAAAATGTATACAAAAAGTATTATAACGATTGCTTTTAAATTATTAGCAATAGAAAGGCAAACATTATCATACTTTCTCATTTACCGTCAGCCTTCAGCAAATACGCATTTACATCATTTAAACAAATCTTTGAATGACTAATGAACATTTAATTTCACAAACCTTGCAAACTTAGTCGAATCCAGTGGTGAGATCTGTGACATGGATAAGCCCCTCGCATATGACGCCCAGCAGAACCTGCTCCGGCTCTGCAGCATTTACACACAGGGTTACCGTGAAAACACCTCCCCCGGACCCTCAGACCCCGCTCAGCCTGTGTACACCCTGCAGAACCTTCAGGACAGACTCAAGAGTAACACCCACTCATCTAACCACGCCCCCAGATCCGTGCAGGCTCCGCCCACAGAGGACCTCCAGGAAAAGCTAAGCGCAGAAACTGTACAGGAGAGAAACTTTGCGTTACGAGGATCAGCATGGAGCGTGTGCACAGGTAACACTCACACCCTCACCTGCTGCTTTTTGTATTTTATATTTAAAAAAATGCTATTTATTAATTTAATGAAACTGAAACCTAATGCAATTATTTTAAAGTAATAAAAAAGTACAAAAACAATTCAAGTCGAAAGCTAAAAAATTAAAAGCCATCAAAATATTTCTAAAAAACGAATATAGTATATAAATAACACTGCAGTTAGTTTATGGATTGCCTTCTGTTTATGAAACGTGATGTTTGCGCTGCAGCATGTCTGCAGTTTATTACAACTAAATGAAATGCTTCAACACCTGTTACTTGAATAATGAATTATTTCATAAATTTAGACCATCTGCACACTTCCAGTCATTGCACATGTGGGCGGTCAGATTCCATGACCACAAATACTAGGGCCAGTTTGCACAAGTAATGTCAGCTGGTGTTTAATGTGATGCGGAAGAATGATTAGCTTTTTGGCATGTCACCATATTCTAATTTATTGAGATAGTGAATTGGTGGGTTTTTGTTAAATGTGACACAAAATCATCACAATTAAAAGAACCAAAGACTTAAACTACTTCAGTCTGTGTGCATTGAATTTATTTAATAGACGAGTTTCACAATTTGAGTTGAATTACTGAAATAAATGAACTTTTCCATGACATTCTAATTTGAGATGCACCTGTACTATATATATAATATTTTGTTAAAATTCAGCATTGCAGTCACAGGAATAATTTACATTTTAAAATGTACTAAAATAGAAAAGCATTGTTTTAAATTGTGATATTTTATAAATATTTTTGATCAAATGAATGCAGCCTTGGTGAGCATAAGATACTTATTTCAAAAGCTTAAAAATGCCCCTAAACATTTGAACAGTTGTGTATGTAATTACATATGTCAAAACAAGTGGCTTTTAAATCAAGTAAATATAGTACAAGAACACTTAATAAAATAATGAAGTGTTTATGGTTGTTAAACTTTGTGCAGCATGTTTATTTTCATCTGTGTGAACTTCATAAATCCATTAAAATCGGAAGAGACAAATTGATAAAAAATAATTAGAAAATCAGGTTTTGTGTCTAATGCAATACAAATCTGAAATTTTAAGTGACTTGGGGCCTCTGTTCGAATTGAATAACAGCATCTTACTTTGGTGTTTTGCAATATCTTACTATATTACTTCATGCCATTTTACTATCTACAGACAAACAAGCACCCAATAGGAACACAGACAAGATAACAGTTAACCAAATAAGAGTCTAGCTTTATTGAGAGGAACAAACACCTTTTGTCATTGAGACTTACATTTTGTTTGAGTCCACAGACCCAAAGCATTATAAAGTTTTTCCACCCTTTCACTTTCTTCTTTCTCTTTTTTGGTTCGTGTTTTTGTCATATTGAAAACAAGTTTAAAAGCAACATGTTTCATTCAGTAGAGAGTAAAACATACTATTGTATGTTGTTGTCATCATCACAGCACGAGACTCAAAAGTGTAAAGACCACTCAGTCAAACTGCAAAGGCGCGAGAAAAAAAAAACACAATACAAGGGGGGAATGTTAAATGAATGGCAAAACTTGAATTTAAGATCATCCACACTACTTCACAAATCGCCGCGGTTTTATAAGAGCAAACATCAAAGATAATGTCGTTCATAAAGGAGCTGAAATAAGAATACATCTGTTAGTTCCTGAGAATCAATCTGTTGGTGAGGGTGTTTGTGTGAGCGAGTTATAGCTGGTGTATTCAATATTGAAAACATACATGTAAATGTACAGATTACATCAGCTCTGCAACCGGCCATGGGAGAAACCATCTCTTTTGACAGTCTGAAAAGCCTGTTTTGCGTGTTTTTCTTGACTTTTCCCCCCTCCTTTAGGCATGTCCAGTTGTCCTGTAGATTCTTCTTGGACATTCTAGTCAAATATAATCAGAAAAACAGGCAGTTCGTGCAGTTAAATCAGGTTGTCCCTTCAGACACCAATAGAGATAAAGAGCTGAACCCCAAAAACTTCATCTTCTCATTAGCACTTCCACTCAGTGTTGCCAACTAATTTTCAAAAGAAGTTGCTAAAGGCAGGTCGATTTGTTGCTAAAAGTTGCTAAATGACGTCATTACGTAATCACGACGCAAAATTGTGTCACTACATCATATCTCAGCAAAAATATATTTTATATGTTAATTTAGATTTGTTCGTAAAATAATATAAATGCGTAATATCATGTTAAAATATAAATAACTATTTTTATATACAACATTGAACGATTTAATTTTTGAACGATTACAAGTTTTTTTAATAGCTAGTAAACTAGTAAAACTGCACATTCTGAACAATTATAGTTTTAAGCCGTGTATTAGTAGTCAGTATGCTACACTCGAAGAAAATAAATCACAGGTTTTTACCTGCATTTTAAATTACGCATTGTATTTTGTGTTTTCGGGGGAACAACGGATAATGGATAACGGATAATATCCTGGAAAATTATAAGTACCTTTGCCATTTTTCGAGATATTTTTCTTACAGTGTACTAACTGATCAACAATCACATGTACAAGCTACTAACAAGGTGTATCATAAATGAACAATTATTATTGTTATTATCAAATTGAACAACTGCAAATAGCAGTAACTTAATTCGTGTGATGTATGTACTTCAAGGCATCTTTGGTTTCCTCTTTTTGTGAAATTTAGATGGAAAATGTGTGCCTTTTTATTGTTTGAGTCACTTATCAAAAGTTGCTAAAAGTAGCCAAATAAAATGGCTAAATTTGTTGCTAGGTGCTTTTGGAAGAAAAAGTTGCTAGGGTAGTCTGAAAAGTTGCTAAATTTAGCAACAAAATTGCTAAGTTGGCAACACTGCTTCCACTTGTGGAAAAGAAAAAGAAAAAAACCCAAGCAAGAAGCGCGACAGTCAGAATGTGCTCGACTCTCACAAACCAAAGTAACGTTAACGTTAGTTAAACTGTAAGGCAGGTTACGAGGAGCGTAATCATGTGTTTGTGTGGATATCTTTCAGTACGACACTCAGATAAAGCTCACAATTCACTCATGAGAGAAAGTGTGTGCCTGTGGCGTCAATGTCAGCTGCTTAAACTCACCTATTTGCTAAAAAAAGACAAAAAACATTGTGCAAATTCCATTCAATTAAAGTCTCATCTTCAACCTGGAACGTGCCTCCTTGTCTTTACTGTAGAAGGTAAACTATGATACAGGTGAAACAGCGGTGAATTTACCATAAATTCACACTAGCGCACACAATAGTCAACATTTTACATTAGTCTTATCAGTACTAATGATAGTCAAGTCTATAAGTGCGTGTATGAGAGAGATCCTGCTCGGATAAGCTGGTAGAGTGTCTTCATGTACGTGAAATGCACTAATACTGTGCAAATACAAGAGGTTTGACATTAATTTTCAATATTTACAGAGGAAAAATATATTAGGAGCACACAGATTGTGTCAGAACGTGTCTCTCCTGAATCTACATCTTTAACAGAGAGAGAGACTGAATGATGATATATAAAGCCACGATCTACGAATCCTGCAGTCAAACAGTAATGAAGTTCAGCTCCGCGGAGGTAAACGTTCACTTTCTAAAATAATCATTAAACAACTCATTTCAAGGCATGGAGAAGTGAAGGAGGTATGAGAGGACGGAGAAAGAAATGAGAGAGAGAGAGATCCCTGTCTGTAGTGGTCTGCCCGGCAGGAAATAAGCCATCTCTATGGGCTACTCGAGTGACACACGGTATCACTGACATTACGGCATTATATTTCTTTATCCTTTTTTTTTTTTAAACAAAACTACGCTTTTTTTTTTAAATATATATATAGATATATATACTCATATAAGTGATACTGTACAGCTCAGAAATATATATATATCTTTTTTTTTTTTTTTACAATCAAGAAATAGATACAATTTGTATCAACAAGCAAAAGGTCGTTTCTGGACATTTGTTGTGTGGTAGCTTGCTGCTCAACTGCGCAGGGGTCTGAACCTCGGAGCATAAGCAGCGGACAGCAATGTCGTAATTTACAAGAAATTAGTTTCTAGATTGCTCTAGAAACACATCCTTCGGGATTGTTTGCTCCTAGGTTCAAAGGAGAAGGGGAAAAGGAGAAACCCAGCCGTAAAAACACTTCCATCACAAACAAAAATACACATTTAGGCCTGAAACATACACTGCGTAAGTACATCAGTGAAGTTAAAAGTGCGGTCACATTAGTGAAAGTTTGTGGGCAAAAAAGTCTACTGTCAATGTGTGTGACCAACTTCTTGAACTCATTGCGAAATTTGTATGGGGAAATGTATTGCCTTGCATAAATTCCCAATCCTGTGGATTCCTATTGAAATGACTGCATTTTGCCCACAAAAAATTTGCCAAACAACATTAAATGTGACCACACCTTAACACTTCTAGCTGGATTTCACATCACTGCATTCCAAAATGTGTCACAATCACTGATCTATATATACTATTATAGATCAGTGGTCACAATTCATAACATAACAGAATTGCACTTCTGCCACAACCGCTACTAGAGCAGGCAATACTAAATGCATTAGAGCATAAAATAAAAAAGGGAAAAGAAACAAAACATTAAAGATTACTTTTATAGTAGACTCTTGACAGTTCCAGATTTTCTGAAAGCTCGTAAAAGCGTGAAATGTAATATTTTATCATCTGCTCCCTTTAATGTCACAGTTGAATGTGAACATTCCTGTGGTGCTATTAGCCAAAAAAAAATACAAAAAGGTTTACGTAAGCCAGAAGTTGTCATGATTTCACCGATCAAGCATTAGTACTTGCATAAACATGTCTCTGGCCTAAAATGTGTAAATTATTATTTTTTAAAAATTAAAACAAAAAAACTCTAACCCGATTGTAAAAAGGAAAAAAATCATTAATAGCCTCCTGAAAGAACCCTGTTGAAAAACAAAACTAAGGGGAAGGAGAACCGTCTGTGTTCGTATTAGAGAGCTGAGAGGTTGGGTTTTGTGTCCACGTCGAAGCAGGGTCGGGGGCGGTAGAGAGGCAGCAAGCGAACTGTCAGCCAAATGTCAGAAACAACCCAACAACAGCCTGGTGTTCCGTGTGTGTGTCGCACAGGAAGAGACCGGTAGGCAGTGTGTCACACCTTCCCACGAGCAGTAACGGGGCCCCACGGGGCCACACCTGTGCTCATGAAAAAAAAATTAAGGAGAAATTTAAGTATTTTTGAAAACACCCAGAGCATCTCTGGACCAATAACATTCACGCTCTCCTGAAGATATGTTCATTTACAGGGCGGAGCAGATTAAACGGGGCGGTCTCTTGGCATCAATCAGGAAACAGATGCTGCACAGGAGCATTTTGCCGAAGAGACACATTCTCCTCCCCAGTTTGTGAATACTTGAACGTAGTTATTGACTAAGGAGCCAAACGTGAGCGGCGCTCTCCGTCAATCA